CCGCGGGTAGTAACGGCCGCCGTTGCCTTGCAGAGGACGCCCGGGGCCGCTACATCTCGCCCTTTCACGACATCCCCATCTACGCGGATGGCACTGAGGTAAAGCGGGGGCGGGGATGAGGGTGGGAGGCGTTAAAAAAATGATAATGGAAAAAAACAAATGAAATAATTTTTTTAAAAAGCGTCCTCGCTGCTGCCTCGGGGCATGCGGTTAATGCTGGGCTCGCGTCGCTGAAATATTGTGTCCCCGCGCCGCCTCCCGCAGCCGCTGCCAGCCGCGGGTACGAGGAAACGCAAGGAGAGCCTTAAGGGAGAGGATCCCCCTCCTTAGGGTGCCCTTTCCCTGGTGGAAGAAGCAAGCCAGCATCCCTGAGCTTATATAAAAATGCTTTGGGTTAAAAAAAAGGAGCATTTTTTGCAGCTAAGGGGATGCTGCACTCTTCCCTCTGGAGCTTTGGGCCGCTCTGTGCCGCTGCGCAGCTTTGGGCAGCTGAACAGGGGGCGAGAAGGTGAAATCCTCCTCGGGGCATCTGCTGGGACACCTGCAGCCCTGCAAACAGAGCAGCAGGGGCACCTGCCGTGACGCAGAGGTTTTGTGTCTTTCAGGCAGGCAGCGTTTTATCAATTTGGGCAGGTCTAAGGCACCACCCAAAATCCAAATCCGATGCCGAGGAAGCCGCCGCGGCTCGTCTTGGCTTCCCACTTCCCGCTTCTTCAGCAATTGCTTGGGCTCTTTGGCACCCGGTTTTCCCCTTTATCACCTGCCTTCTGTTTGAGCAGCAGCGCAGAGGGCACAGAGCTGAGGAGGGTGATAAGTTGAACGCTTTTTGAACCTCTAATGAGCTCTGAGTCATTGCCCAGCACTAACCGGGCACCTGTGGGAGCGCTGGGTGCAAGCTCAGCTGCAGCTGGGTGAGTCACGGCAGGATGCCGAGTCTCAGCGCGAGCCCGTCATTGCTGTTACGTTACCAAGGGAGAGCCCCGCGGGTCGCGGAGGGCTCTGTGGGTCAGGAACTGTGAACGAAGGGACCGGCACTCCTGGTGTCCCCGCGGGTGCTTTGTGCTGCTTGCCAGGGCCTCCGTGCCAAGGCAGTCGGCGTCACCGGTGTCCCAAAGGTCACCGGCGCCAAAGTTGCACAACAGGACTGAGCGTCGAGGCCTCTCCGGCTGCGGTGCCTCTCTGGGGAGACCCTTGTTAGTGTGTTAGAAGCTGTGATACTAGCAGCGTAGTTCAGGAGATTGCTCTGCCTGAGCTCCTGCAGAGTCTTCAGTGCCCACTCTAACCACCCCCAATCTGCCTCGTTCCTTAAGTTACATAAAAAAAAATGTATGCACGCATCCACGCAACCCCCCTTCCGCTCTAAGGTGGGAATCAGCACTTACGGGATCCAGTAAACTCCTGTCAGGGGAGGGTGAGAGCAAAGTCAATGACATAACAGCGCTGACTGCACGACCGCAATCCAATTACGATGCAAGGGGTTTAGCGTGCCCTGAATTACCTTTCGCAGAGCTCAGACTGCTTAAGCTGGAGCTTAGAAAACTGGCTGATGGCAGGCAGCAAGGCTTGACTTTTTGCTAAAAGCATAAATCTCTTCAAATGGCCAACGCTGAGATTCCAGGGTGAAGGACCTTGTTTTCTTGTGAAAGTTGCAGCTGACAGAAAATGTGTTGATCACCTAGAAAGTGTGTGGCGTTCTGCATGGACTAAAAGTAGTCTGCGTGGTGCCACGTAGCTAATTGGACTCTGGGGCTTCTATCATGTGCATCCAAACTGGGACCCAAAGAAGCAGAAAGTTACAGCTTTCATGCAACGTCCTTACGCCTGTGTCCCAGGTCTTGAAATTCCTTCCTGTTAACTGGTGGTTTGCATTTTTCAGAACGTGTTCAACATGGTTGTGGAAGTACCTCGGTGGACAAATGCTAAAATGGAGGTAACTGTGCTAAAAATCCCACCCTCAGTATTCAAACTGACCAGTTGTAGCCATTGCTGAGTCTCTCCTCCTTGTCTTAAGGGCCTAACACGGAGGCTGAGGCTTGCAGAAGTCAGAATATGATTTTCCTGCTATGGCTTCTGATTAAAACAGTGTCTTAGCGTCTTAGCCCCATCTCTCATTCTGACATGGATGAGTCTGCTGAAAACTGGCAGTGCAACACAAACTGCTCAGTATTTCCTTTTGGCTTGGGTGGTTACTGTCGACTTCTGGGCTTGTTAATTGGCAGCCGACTCCATAAAAAGGACTTCTGCCTTTACTCTGCTTGCTAAGAAAACCTCTGTTTGCAATTTTTCTTCCAGATTGCAACGAAGGATCCCTTGAACCCAATTAAGCAAGATGTGAAGAAAGGAAAGCTGCGCTACGTAGCCAACGTGTTCCCCCACAAGGGTTACATCTGGAATTACGGAGCCATCCCCCAGGTACTGTCGTGGGTTTCTGGGGCTCGTTTTGTGGGGAGGGGAGCAGGGCTGGCTACTGGCCGTGGAGGCCGCCTTGATGAGCTCACATGTGCCTCGGGTTGCCACCCGAGCTGAAAGTTTGAGGTGTAAATGAAACATCTGCTGGACAGATGCCCAGTTCTGCGTGTTGGAACGAGGTGGCGGGGCATACTCAGAGGTCCAGGTAACCGCGTGATGCAACTGCAGTTGCGCTGCCAGGTTTTTCCTTGGAATAGCCGCTGGGGGCAGTGGTGGCCGCTCTGCAGACAGTGCTCTTAACAGGCCCATGTCTGCTGGGGGCGCAGGAGCTTTGTGCACGGGTGTTTGCCTCGGGTGCTCCTCAAAGCTCGAGGCTCCTTTTGGAAAATAAACCCCACCAGTGACAGCAGAAACGCTGTGAATTTTCTAGCTGTGGTTTTGCTAGCAGTACATGTGAAGTGTTTTCCTGAAGACTTCTTCCAGAACACGCCTGCTGCTTCTGGGAGCACTCGAACTTTCTTGTGACTGTGGAAAAGCCTAAAGGCTAAAATGGAGCAGCTTCTCCAAGAATGTTTTTCTCAGCGTGACTTTACTGTTCTTTAGCCTTACGGTGTTCCGAAGGTTGGCTTGATGAGCAGATGTCGCTGCAGAGGGAGGATAAACGAGGGCTGATTTGTTTGTCCTCTGTGCTGTGGGGAGAGCAAGTAACGGGCTTAACCTGGAAATCCTCTGCTCCACTTGACACCGTGGAGAAAATCTCTTCCGTGGCCAGAGTGACAAAGTACCAGAATTGATTGTCTGGGAATGATTACCTAGAGCTGGAGGGATGAGCCAAACATCTCAAGGTCTCTTCCAACTCTTCGCTGTGATTTGAAGTTTTACATGACAAAACACCTTGGCTTGTGGAACAATAATTTCCAGGTCCAATATAGAGAGTTCCCCGCTGAGTCTCGGATCTCCTGTCAAGTCCAGGAGACTTTTTGAGCTACTGTGGAGTCAGTCTCACTGTGGGGCGGGTGACATTATTGTTAGTGCTCTGGTGTCACCGTGTGTCTTTCAATGTTTAACTAGCAGGAAACGATACCCGGTCTCTCTCTTTCCCATCTCTCCGGAACAGCAATCTGGAATTCAGGAAACTTCTGTTAAGAAATGAATAGGGAGAGGAGCAGGCAGGCAGCCAAATCAATGAATGTTCTTGCTAGATGTGAACTTCACCTTTGTGCAGCCGTTCAACTGAAGAGGAAGTCTGGGAAGATGTTTTGTCTGGAGAGAAGGTTTGTCCGTGGGAGGGAGCAGTTTACCCATGGCAAAATGAGAACTTTTAACTCGGATTAAACCTGCATTTGCAGGTGCGTGTAGAATAGTAGTCCAAACATCAGAATCGAAAGCAAGGGTACAGTGGGGCCATCACCTGTGTCCTCGGTGCAGTCGCTTGCAAGAAATAACCCTCCTTTTTGTGTCCTCTTGAAACACGGGAGTTCTTATGAGGTTTGTGTGGTGTTTTTTTGATTTTTTCCCCCCACAGACTTGGGAAGACCCGGGTCATAAAGATGAAAATACTGGCTGCTGTGGAGATAACGATCCGATTGACGTGTGCGAAATTGGAAGCAAGGTAGTGCGCTCTAAAGGGCAGCTGTCTCTTGGAACATGTAATTAATACCTCTCAAAGTCGAATCACTTGCCTAATTCCCCCCTCCTGCTTCTTAATGTGGTGTTTGCCCTCAGCGGTGCCTCTGAAGGCAACGGTGCAGCCACCAAAACCCTCTCCTTGCAGGTCTGCTCTCGAGGAGAGGTGATCAAGGTGAAGGTGCTGGGCACGCTGGCGCTGATTGACGAGGGGGAGACGGACTGGAAGATAATTGCTATCAACACTGAGGACCCCGAGGCAGGCAGCTATAATGGTGAGCAGCAGGAGGATGCGCCCCAGGATTCCCATCTCTCAGCTGGAAACTTCCAGGTCCGGAATACGGGCTTGTCATGGAATCAGTCACTCCTCTGGTGTGACGCTGGCCCGGACAGCAGAATTGGAGGTGTCACCCTCCACCAAAACCGTACCCTGCTGTTTATCACCGATTCCCCTGTCCCTTTACACTCACTCTGTGATTTTAGTGTAGCCCCAGGGGCAACTCACAGCTAAGTAACCCCTGCAACCGCAGTCTGCCTAACAGCCCTTTTCTCCTGACCAGATATCAGTGACGTCAGGAGGCTGAAACCTGGGTACTTGGAGGCTACCGTGGACTGGTTCAGAAGGTACAAAGTCCCGGATGGAAAGCCCGAAAACCAGTTTGCTTTTAATGGTGAATTTAAGGGCAAGGTAAGGACGGCATCTTCACGCAGCGCTGAGAGCGTTGCTGGACCGCAGGGAAGGCTGCATGTGGGTCAAGATGGACCTAGTTGATTTAGACAAACTTGGCGGGAGGAGCAGGAGGCTGTTTTTGGAGCACAGTCCTTATCTGAGACTGGAATATCTGCAGTTGGTTTCTCTTGGCTGCAGGCTTCCTTGGTACATCCTCGCATCTTGAAGTTTTAAAACAGTTCAGGTTATAAAATCTCATTGTTTCAGCGGGTGCTCATAGAGACCTCACAAAAAGAGGTCTCTTGAGGCACCTGCCTGAGTTGGACACTGTCAGAAATCACCCTGTAAATGCCAGCCTCTCATGCCATGTAACCAATAGCCTGGGGCCAGCGGTCCAGTATTTACACATAACGTGATGTTTGTCCTCATTTCAACCTTAGGATTTTGCACTGAGCGTTATCAAAAGCACTCATGAGCACTGGAAAGCTTTAATAGCTAAAAAAACAGATGGAGGGGAGATCAACTGGTAGGTAAACATTTACGTTACGATACTTACTCCTTTCCCCTACACAAATAAGGCTGAAACTTGCTTTCCCAACCATAGACCTGCTTCCTGTTAGGGGCTCGCTCTCCGTCTTCCCCTTAAATCTGGCCACGCCGAGAGTTTAGTTTCTTTGTGTTCTGCTGTTGAACGCTGTTGGGGAAACTTGGCTTTCCCGTTCTCACAGACAACTTCTCTCTTGCAGCACAAACCTGACGGTGTCAGACAGCCCTTTCTGCTGTAGTCAGGAGTGCGCGAAAGCTACTGTGGATGCGGTGAGTGCAAATCAGCCCGGGCTTCCGGGTCAGGCACCCATCGTGGTGCCAAAAACCGTCCTCTGTCTCACCGGCGTCTTCAATACTCAGAGTATTTTGCATGACCGGGCTTGGCACCTGCCTCTGGTTGAACACAAAGGTGGATGCAGACAAAATCAGGCCTTCTTCCAGCCTTCCTTGCCCTCGGAGTCCCCTGGGAGACGGACCCTTGTGCGGGGCTGTCCCTTGTGTGCTGCCGGCATCTCGTGCATTGGTGGCTTTTTTATTGCTTTTAAGAGGAGGCTACAGACAAGCGTTTCGAAACGCCTGGCGTTACAGTAAGAGGGGAGTGGTTGTTTGTGCTCAGAGCACCTCAGGCATGAGGGACGTGCCCAGGATGAGGAGCGGTGATGACTCCTGTTGCACATGCACTTACCTGCTCATAGCAAGCATCCCTGTCTGAGTGGTGCTTAGGGAGCTGCAGGGGTGAAGTTAGCCTCAATGGCACTGACATCTGCTCGCATTGCAACCTCTCTTGCTGCCTGCTAACACTCGTGTTGTTCCAGGCGCCGCCCTGCAAAGCTGCCAACGCGATCCCACCCGAAGGTAAGTCCCCAAATCCACGTTTTCTCTCGCAGAACTGCGATGGTGGGACAAATCCTGGCTGCCTCTCGGCCCCCTCCATCCCCATGGGGTCGGGGTGGGCATCTCGTGCGGGGAATGAGCACACGGGGCACAGCTGGGGCGGGTAGGGCGGCTTCCTGGGGACCATGCGAGGGCCTTTATCCCTCCTGTGCCCTAGGGTCGTTTGTGGGGGGATACTGCAGCTGTGGAGCTCTGACCGAGGGCGGTTTTGGGGTGTTTGGGCTCGCCGCGGCGGAGGTCGCCCTGGCCACTCCTCCTCTCGTTGCAGTCGACAAGTGGTTCTACTACCAGCAGAACTGAGGGTGGCAGCGCGTGCAGCAGCAGCCGCCCAG